GTTTTCACGGACACTGCAATCATGAACTGCAACTGTCTGGTGTACTGCGGTAGAGCGTGTTGTGATGAACTCGCTTAGCCGTTGGTCATTGCACTGGGAACTAAGATTGCCAATAAAGACAACTACTCGCTTCTTGCGGTGAGGCTCTTGAGCCACCAACTGCCAAGAATCATCCTGGATGGCCTCCAAGTCCAATGCAGGGGTTGCGTTGGGCACAGGCTTGGCTGGCATGTGTCCAGATCGACATCCTCCATGCTGCTGGAAGTCATCTGCGTCCGAGCACTCCGTGCCTGAGGGCCCACTGTCCTCGATCACTTTTTCGAAAGTGCCCCTACGGGATACGGCCTCCACGTGCGCTCCAGTTGTTTCCTGATCCTGCAGATCCTGCTGCTGCTTGCTTGCATGGTTGCCTTTGCCTTTGGTACGAGTACGGCGTGTACGCTGGCTGTTGAGAGTATGGGTACTGCCGGGGAGCTCCGAGGAGGAATCCACGGCTGTAATGGCGGACTTCTTTTCAAGGGAGACACGAACCTCCGCCTTCAACTCCACGATTTGTGCAGAGAGCTCATCTAAGCGTCGTAGGAGGCACCTCTCCCGGTCTCTAGACTCGCTGACAAAAGTTGTCAAAGTCTGCAGCAAGCTAACCACATTTTGCTCAATACCAGGCAGAGAGCAGAGCAGTTTTGTCGGCTCGCCTGTCAGCTCGCCCATTTCAAATGTTTTTAGGACTACGACTACGTGCACCACACTACTACTGCTACCTATTACACTGGACCACTACAACCGCTGCTAAGACCCTACCGTTACCTCCAGACCGGCCTGATGCCGACTGGGCTATCCAAAAGGCGAAAATCTACGAGCTGAAAAAAAAAACGCTAACCTCACCATGAAAAAAAGACGGTCTGGAGCGGTGTGTGTGTGTGTGTGTGTGTGTGTGTGTGTGTGTGTGTGTGTGTGTGTGTGTGTGTGTGTGTGTGTGTGTGTGTGCAGTCTTTCTTCTCTTTCTCAGACTCCTGACTATTCTTTCATCCTCCTGGGTGCTTACCAACAGCCAGTGCATGCCGGAGTATGTGGTGTAATGTGTGTGCGGAAAAAAATGAAAAAAGACCAAAAAGTAGGGATTCACTGGACACAAAAAGCCACTTCATAGCTGTGTGGTGTAGACCAGGCTTAATAGTGGCGGTCAATTCTGCAGCCTTGCAAGTTTTTGAATAGTGCAATCCCAGCACAAGCTGCTATCGCTTCTGCCGTAGCATCGCTATCATCGCCTTCGGCGATGGGCGTCCAATGGTCCAATGGTGTGTGTGCATGTGTGTGCATGTGTGTGCATGTGTGTGTGTGTGTGTGCATGTGCATGTGTGTGCATGTATGTGTGCATGTGTGTGTGCTTGTGTGTATTTGTGCGGGTTGCTGCGTGCATGTGGGTGGCTTGTGCCCGTGTGCGTATAGGTGTACTCATCCATGTGTGATTTCTGGATTGCCTCAGGGTGTCTTCATCATTCTTTGTTCTTTCGTACTAAACGATTCCAGCATGACCACTTTGAACCATTCTACAGGTAGGTCCATATTGATTGTTTCGAGCCCGAAGCGCCGTGCGTGGTGATTTCAAATAAATAATAATTATTTAAATGTAAGTAGAAGAAGAAAACACATGGGAAAGAGTTATGAAGCAACTATCCACGAATGTAACTGACTGTGATGTATGCATGTATATTTCTTTTTAAGAAAGAGCTTGGCTGATGCGGTGCATTGGAACTCATGTGAAATCTACACCACGATTGTTTTCGTTAATAAATATTATTTCTTTTCTCTTCACTCTCTGCCTCGGTGCTTTTTGTTGCTCAATCGTCGTGAGTTCCATTTGGACCGTAGATGAGAATTATTGTTATTATTAGGCCATCCAGAATTAATTCGTTGTTTCGGGTCACCCGACCGACCGTCTTTTTTCATCCGACCGCAAACTGTTTTTTTTATAGTGCATGCAAATGTACAGACTAGACTATTTACACACGCGACCCTAATAATAGCAGTCCAGATATCGACCTCAGAAGCAGCCATGGCTAGCCAAATCATAAATGTCAGGATGCAGCGCTTGGTGACGACGTTGTCTTCTATCTCCGATCCGCAATCGGTCCTGAAACAGCATCAGCTCCGCCACCTTGTCGCTATTTACAGAAGTTTTCAATGTGAGAGCTGCTCGCCGGTTAGACTCGTTTGCCAGCGAGGCCAATATCTGGTCCTGGAGGGGACCTGGATCTGATGGGACAATGACTGCGCTGGATTGTTTCCACTACAGTCAAATTTGATCGACAGGCTAGATGGGCAAAAGCTATTCGATTTACATGTGCATGGACGTAACCAAAATAAAAATAAAATAAAATAAAAAATATACCCGACCGACCGACCCTGGTACGGGTGAGTGAAGTGACCCGAAACAACGAATTAATTCTAGGTGGCATTATTATTATTATTATTATTTGAAACTCGGATGTTGAGCCATAAATAAATGTAAAAGAGAAAAGGACGTATGGATACGAGTTTAGAGTAACTCTCCATCACTGTAACATGATACTATATACAGTCAGAAAGTGCAATAACTAGGCACAAAACTGACAGAGTACTGAGACATTCGACGTCCTGACACCTAACTTTAACACATCTCCGTAGCGCTAACTGACAGCCTTCCAACTTGGAAGGTTCAAGGTTATGGAAAGACCAAAGAGGGGAAGGCAAGCGCAACGAAAACGAGCAAAAGCTACAGTCCCAACGGAACAAAGAATGTCGATTGTTACTGGACGATGACGAGACCAGTACGATATTTGACAAAGCGGTCTAACTACAATTCGAATAGTTAGGTGTCAGGACGTCGAATGTCTCAGTACTCTGTCAGTTTTGTGCCTAGTTATTGCACTTTCTGACTGTATATAGTATCATGTTACAGTGATGGAGAGTTACTCTAAACTCGTATCCATATGTCCTTTTCTCTTTTACATTATTATTATTATTATTATTTGGAAAGGATTGGGAGAACTTCAAATTCAAAGGATCAGTCGGGGAAGTGAACTGCCTGAAAAGAGAAAAAAACGCCAGACCCACCAGGACTCGAACCTGGGACCCTGCTTGTTATAGCTCAGTGGTTAGAGCATTGCTCATGACAACCAGGGTCCCAGGTTCGAGTCCTGGTGGGTCTGGCGTTTTTTTCTCTTTTCAGGCAGTTCACTTCCCCAACTGATCCTTTGAATTATTATCATTATTATTATTATTATTATTATTATTGAGTTACGAAGTCTGAAGAAAACGTTGAACGGTCTCTGCTTGGATGACGACTACACCATAGCTCAGTGGTTAGAGCAGCGCTGGCTACAAGCGAAGGTCCCTGGTTCGAGTCCTGGTGGTGACAGTCAATTTTTTCTTCAGACTATTCCCGTTTGTCTCTTTCCCTCAAACCAGTTAATAATAATATTATTTGAAACTCGGGTATTGAGCCAATAATAAAAGTAGAAAGGAAAAGGACATATGGAATGTTTTGTGCCTAGTTGTTGCACTTTCTGACTGTATATAGTATCTAGTTACAGTGGTGGAGAGTTGCTCTTAACTCGATTCCATATGTCCTTTTCCTTTCTACTTTTAATAATATTATTATTAAGCTTCCGTGGAGATAAAAATGTAATCAACGCAATAAATAGAGTAAGCTGCGCACTCAGTACAAACACCATAAGCAAAACTTGTTTTCATGTATATAAATAAGCTTGTTCCTAAACGTTTTCGTCGCCATCTCATCAGAGGATTACTGGCAAATCAACAAAAGCTCTTAGCTCAATATATATACGCACAATGCAAGTAATAAATTAGACCCTAACTAGCGCGATAAAATGAGAGCTGAAAGAAACATTACACCATTCAACGATATCAGGTGACAACAGATGCGATAAATTCACCACTAGAAAGTTACCATGCAACCACAAACGAGAACTACTGATCTAAATTCACAAACAATTTCAACGTAAACAAATTCTTTTTCTGCCTACACAAAATCGGCTTGGTGGTAAAAATGTAAATAGACTCCAATACACGCAAATACCTTTGACTACGTGAACGAGACCAAACAGAAAAGCAATCATCAGCTTTTGTTGATTTGCCAGTAATCCTCTGATGAGATGGCGACGAAAACGTTTAGGAACAAGCTTCTTTATATACATGAAAACAAGTTTTGCTAATGGTGTTTGTACTGAGTGCGCGGCTTACTCTATTTATTGCGTTGAATATTATTATTATTATTATTATTATTATCGAACCTTCGACTCGGCAAACCTGCAAGAAAGCACCACTCCCTGCTCAATACACAGTGTTTCGGGGAATTCGCCCCTCATCAGTTGAGCTTGAGTAGGCTGAGGAAGATTGCAGGTTTGCCGAGTCGAAGGTTCGATGGATTTCTCGTGTGCTCTGGATGGCAGTCGTGAGTCAGTCAAGTGTCAAGTAAAGTCGGCGGAATAGCGCGAGCTCCGGTGTGGGGAGCGAACCCTTTTCTTACAAATCATCGCCGAAGTCGCAACCACTACTTCGTATTATTATTATTATTATTATTATAATTATCCATGGATGTAAGAAAATAATAAGATGTCAGTATGTGCAATACCAGGGCCCAAAAGCACAGGCTACTGAGGCATTCAACGACCTAAGACCTAGCTCTAACACATCTCCAGTGCGCAAACCACCAGCCTTCCAACTTGGAACGTTCAAGATTGGGTACGACCAACGAGGGGAAGGTGAGCGCAGCTGAAATGTGCACCAGCTAAGTCCCACGGCAACAAAGAATGCAGACTTTTACAGGACGATGACGAGACCAGTTAAAAATGATGATGTGATTGGTTTGCGCACTGGAGATGTGTAAGAGCTAGGTCTTTGGTCGCTGAATGTTGTTTGAATTCTTTTATTCTCACGATGGCCTGTGGCCAATAAGAGAAAAATAATTACAGGCACGGGGATCAGATACAGAGAGATCAAGGTTTAGCTGCTTGCTGAGGCAGTAGCGATGGCAATACTAATTGGGAGTTAATCACGTAGGCTGGGCGCAATAGAGCTATAAATGTGCTGAGCAATGTGAGCAAGTACATACGGAAGAGATGACAAGTGGTAGGATGTTTGCTTTGAAATCTCGTCTGGGGTTGATTTGCCGGATGCTGGGTGGGATGCTATTAAAGAGATCAAGAGAAGCATAGATGGGGGAGTCTCTTAGCCGGTTTGTACGTGTTGTGGGTAGCTCAAAGGTTCGGGGGAACCTGAGCGTGCGAATGGGTTGTATTCGGGGTAGGTGAATTGCAAGAAGGTGTGGTGGTGCATGTCTATGATGCAGGCTGTGTGCAAGAAGGATATGGGAGAGGGTACGGCGGCTGCTGAGTGATGGCCATTTGAGTCGGTGCAGCAGCACGGAGTGGGTTCTGTGTTCAAAGAGGGGGAGATGCAAACAGAGGCGAGCAGCGCGCCGTTGGATGCGCTCAAGCCGGTCGTTCAGGGTTGCGGGGAGGGGTGAGAGGACAGTGCAAGCATACTCAAGAATAGGGCGGATGTAGGTTAGATAGATGGAGGAGAGAGCAGAAGTGTTTAAGGAATTGCGTAGTCGCAGGAGAAGGAACATCTTCCTGGTCGCTTTAGTGATGATGTAGTCAACATGCGAGTTCCAGCATAGATTCTGCTGTATGAGGAGGCCAAGGTGGCGATGCCTTGAGGCCACAGTGAGGTTGGTATCGTTAAGTGTGATTGATGGTGGTCTGGGAGGTGGCCGGTTGGTGTGGTGAAAGTGGATGACAGTGGTCTTACTTTCGTTGACCAGGAGATGCCAATCCTTCAGCCACTGTGCCGCGGTTGTCACAGCTGACTGGAGGTGCTCTTCTGCGGCTAGAAAATTCTCGTGAGCGGCAATGATGGCAGTGTCGTCGGCAAACTGGCTGCACTCAGTGTTGTCATTTATGCAGGCGGTTGGCAGATCAACTGTGTAGGCCGTGAACAAAAGCGGCCCCAAGACAGAGCCTTGGGGGACCCCCGCTGGAATGTTTAGCCATGTTGATTTGCTGCTCTCCACTTGCACACGTTGTCGTCTATTGGTGAGATAGGAGGCAAGCCACTGGAGGCATTTGCCATCGAGTCCGAGGTGGGCCAATTTTGCAAGCAGTCCTTGGTGCCACACCCGGTCAAACGCCTTAGAGAGGTCGAAGAAGCAAGCAATTACTGTTTGCCCGGCGTCTCTTTTCTCGGTGATCTGATGGATTAACCGAGATAGCTGCTGTGTGGTGCCATCGTTTGGCCGAAAGCCTGATTGGCCGTTGGGGAGGTGAGGTTGGATGTGCTTTGAGATGCGGTCAGCAACTATCCTCTCTTGTACTTTCGACGTCACGCTGAGTAGCGATATCGGTCGATAGTTGGAGGGCTCGGTTTTGCTGCCCTTCTTGTGGATGGGGGTGACTGTTGCGTCCCTCCACTCTTGCGGGATAGTGCAACGTTCGAAGGAGATGTTAAAAAGGGTTGCTAGGGACGGCGCAAGTGAACTGGCTGCCTCTTTCAGTAGGCGGGTTGGTATGCCATCACAGCCCGGGCTCTTTGACGGGTCCAGGTTAGACAGTAACTTTGAGACCTCTTGGGCTGTTGTTTCAAGTGTAGTGAGGCCAGGTGTATTGGGTGTGGGGGAATGAATGGAGGGAAGTTCCTCGTGGCATCCTGTGACTGACTGTTGGCTCTGCGAGATGAAGAAAGCGTTCAGGGCGGTTGCTTTTTCAGCGGGGGTTGAGAGAGTCTGGCCCTGGGAGAGCATGTCTGGCAGAGTAGGTCGTTGTGAGGACTGGAGGCCTCGCATCAGTTTGTGTAGGTTTGGTGTGGAGTGGCTCGTCCCAGTGCCATTACTGACATATGTAGACTTAGCGATTCGGAGAAGGTGAGTAACTTTGTTGCGTTGGGTGGTGTATGCTGTCCAGTTGCAGGGCGTCCGGGTGCGCAAGTAGGCACGGTAGAGCCGGTGTTTTTCTCTGATGGCGTTAGTGAGCTCTGGGTTCAGCCATGGCTTTGCGGGGTGGCTAGTATGCCTCGGGGAGTGAGGTACTGCACAGTGTTTGCGGGCGCAAGTGAGGACTTTGTCCTTCCATGAGTGCCACAGGTTGTCTATGTTGGTAGTGTTCAGGGTGTCACCTTCCGGTAGCAGTTGTGTGCGTTCAATTTCGGCTTTCAGACTGCTGATGCTTGGGTTTGACCATTTCCAATGGGTGGTGTTATGGGTGGGAGGTGGTACGGCTCGAGGGGGTGCAGCGACTGGCTTGATTAAACCCCTGATGGATAGGTGGTCCGAGTTGCCGATCTGCGGGAGACTAGAGATAAGGACATAGTCGCTGTCTACATCCGTGACGACGAGATCTAGGCAGGATTTAGGGTGCCCATTCTGCACAAGAGTGGGGAATGTGACATGTTGGTGTAGAGAGTAAGTTTGGAACAGCACTGCTAGATCCTCGCCAACAGCATCTGTCGTGTCAGAGTGGCACCAAGCGGCGTTCTTTGCATTAAAATCACCGAGGATAATCTTTTGCGTTGTTGTTGGTATGGCTCGTATCAGTTCCTCAAGGTGCTGGCAGAATAGCCGATGGTCGCAACGGGGTGGTCGGTAGACGCATGTTGTGTTGATGGTGCTGTCGTTGGCTGACAGTTTCAGCGATAATAGGTCAAAGCTGTCTGGGGTTGTTGTAGGGACGAGTTCATGAGGTATAGTGTCGTTCACGTAGAGAATCACTCCTCCACCTTGGCGGTCTGGGCGGTCTGCACGATGTAGTGTGTATCCACTGAGGGCAAACAGGGAGTCTGGGTCGTGCTGGGTACACCATGTTTCAGAGACAGCAATGACATCATAAGGCGGCGTTGTTGACGATGCTATTGCTGACAGTTCGTCCATTTTGGGGTAGAGACTGCGAGCGTTGAAGGAGAAGAAAGAGATGCTATTTTGTTCATTTCCGTTTTTCATATTTTTTTTTTTTTTTTTTCACTGGTGGGACCTGGTGTTGATGATGATTCCAGTTCAGACGTGGTCCATGGTGACTCCTGTAGGACTCTGGTCAGCTAGCTTATTTTGTTTTTGTTTTTTAGAGGCATGTGGCTGTTGTGCGCCTGGGGGCGTCTGCTCTAGCTGGTGGCGTCTGCGTCTGCGACGTCCGGTGTAGAGTTTCCATTCTTCCTCCGCTGCATTGAGCTTCTGCAGGAGTTGTTCGGCGCGATTTCCATCTTCCTCAAATAGTTGTTGTTGTTGTTGTTGTTGTTGTTGTTATTTGAATTTGAATTCTTTATTCTTTATTTTATCAGGGGCAGTTCAACACTTTTGATGACCTGTTGCCACCGCCAGCTCCGCACACACTGGAGACGCCCGTTTCCACCGAAGAAGTAGAGGCGGCTTTGAGGCGACTGCGAAATCAGAAAGCATGTGGGCCGGATGGTGTATGCGCAGAACTCCTCAATACGGTGCTGAGTACATCTCCCCGATCATCACCACCATGATCAACAACAGCATCACCAGGGGCGACCACCTGTGTAGTGTTATTGGTCCAGGCATATTGATACCGTTACCAAAACCTAACAAGGCGCGGGGACCAGTTGCAAACCTGAGACCGATTGTATTGCTGAACACCCTGCGCAAGGTCATTTCACTCGTTGTGGTCAAACGTATCACACCACGTGTGTCGCATTATCATGGATCAACTTCGTCTGGTTTCAGGCCTGGCCGTGGCACTGCCGATGTGGTGTGGACACAGCGCTGGATTTCGGCTAAGGCCACCCACTTCGTGTGGGATTGCCACGTCCTTGGCCTCGACATGTCGAAAGCATTCGACACCATTAGCCGCACAAAGCTCCTTGCTGTTATGTCAGAGATTACCGGACCTGACGAGGCTTGCCTGAGTCACCATTTGCTGTATGGTACAACACTCTCTGTGAAAGAGGGTGCCACTTCAGCGGAGGCATTTGTTAGCACGCTAGGTACACCACAGGGTGATGGGCTGAGCCCGGTTCTGTTTGTTTCCTACCTGGAAGCAGCACTGAGGGAGACTCGAACCAAACTACCACCACGGCCAGACACTGATGCAGCAATACCACAGGAAACAGGATATGCCGATGACATTTCCTTTTATTCGACTGAGCGACAATGGATTGCCAACTCCCTACCCGTGATAGCTGACGGCCTGGGTGACTGGTCACTCAACGTTAACAGCAGCAAAAAAGAGTGGCTTCACATCTCTGCCTCCACCACCGAATGGCGAAGATCGAAGCAACTTGGCTCTCTCTTGGGGGAAGAGGAGGACTTGAGCCGACGAATGGACCAAGCATCAACATCATATGGCCGTATGTATTCGCTCTGGATACGACGTCAACTTGTATCCGAGTAAACCAGGCTTCGTCTCTACAATGCCATTGTCCTACCAACACTGTTATACAACTGCGAAACCTGGGGACTGACAGAGGCTGCACTGGAGAGGCTGAACGCCTTCCATAGACGTCAACTACGGAACTTGTTCGGAATTAGGTATCCTGCCATCATCTCCAACAAAGACCTATATTCCAGAGCACACACACAGCCACTTTCGCACACCATTGCTGTCCGCCGTTTCCGGATGTTGGGCCATGTTCTGAGGATGCCCTCAGATGCCCCACCACAGCAGGCAGTGGACAACTACTTCTGTCGAGATGTCACCGGTGTGCCTGGACGCCCGAAATCGAACCTGGCCACGGCAGTCAAGGCAAGCACAGCTGCCAGAGACATGCCACTGAAGATCATGATTGATCTGAGTGGGCTCAGAATGCGCGCTTTGGACAAGCAATCATGGAGGGAACTCTCAGGCTGAGCTGGTTTTGCTCGCAGCTGCAACGCACGGGGTAGTGAACCCAGGACAGAAGCGGACCAGGCATCATGACTTTGCACATCTATCGTTATGCTGCTTCATTACGCGACCTGTTTTATTATTATGTTAGGTGCCTCCCTCACTCGTCAATAATCACCATGTAGTCGTTTCGTTCGTCTTGGTCTCTTGTCCCGTCTCTAATAAATGTCGTTCCACCAACCTACCTGTTCCCGTTGTAATGTCTGAATAATATGTCGTCAGTCGTCCTTTCTCGAACTCAACATTGGCGCCCGATTATTGAGCGACCCACGACCCTGAGATCATCCCATGCCCAGCCGTCCTCAACCGCCATTCGTCTCGTCTATGTCAACCTCGTCTCGTCCATGTCAGCCTCGTTTCTCCTACGCCAACCTCGTCTCGTCTCTATCTTGTCTCTCCTACGCCAACCTCGTGTCGTTCAAGCCATGCAGGTCAGCTACCTTTCTCTCTTTCTTTTTTTTGTATGCGTTCCTTCTTCGTCAAATTTATTTTTGTGAAGTTTTTTGTAGTGTGTGTGCGCGCGGGTGTCCGTGCAAAATACTAGTCATCAGAATACAATTCAAGTCCCTCGTCGAACTCCAATAGTTATTTTTTGTGCCATGTTTTGAAGGGGCGTTTGGGCGCGTTGTTATTGGCAATGTACACACTATAGTATGAGTAGTACAGGATCGTTGACGGTTGTAATGATCTGTAGTGCATTTTTTAGTACACACTTTTGTGAGGCCCGTGTGTTGTGTGTGTGTGTTTTCTTCTTCAGTCATTTTTTAAAATCTTTTTCTCTCTTTTTTTTCTCTCCGCGAGGACGCGGGATTTTTTTTCGTGGAGGGGTGGTATGTTAGGTGCCTCCTCCCGTACCTTATCTATCTGGCCTGCATGCACTTGCGTACTCACCTTTTGTCTCCTTTTGTTCCGTTGGCCTGGGTAGCTACTTGCGCGCCCATATTTGCCATAGCTACCCAGGTCCTCTATCTTGCCGTTCAGACTTGATCTCTCTCTCTCTCTTTTCTCTCTCTCTTTTCTCACTCTTCAATAATCTCAATGTAGTCGTTTCGTTTTAGCTTGGTCTCTTGTCTCGTCGTCTATAATAAATGTCGTTCCCCCAACCTACCTGTTCCCGTTGTAATGTCTGGATAATGTGTCGTCACTCGTCAGTCGTCCTGTTTCGAACTCAACAATTATCATTATTCTCACGATGGCACCATCGCCAATAAGAGATAAATTTATGAGAAGGTGAGATTGTTGTTGTTGCTGTTGTTGACTTTTATTTTACTTCACCAACTGCACAGGCATGATTGCCTTCTCCCCGTCCCATAGGCCCGGTTCTCATCGAAAGATGAAGGAAATGATATGATATTCACTGGTTTGGGGGAAAGACACAATTTGTTATGAGGAAATGTATAGAAATAAAGACATGCAAGCGGTATAATTATTAAAAAGTCTCAGTAGCCTGTCAGTTTTGTGCCCTGTTATCGCACATACTCGCCGCTTATCATCTTGTTACATTCGTGGATAGTTGCTTCATAACTCGTTCCCATCTGTTTTCTTCTTCGATTTTACATTTCCTACTGGCTCATTAAAAAAATTTAAAAAAATTCACGGTATCCCGTGAAACTCGGCTGGAAGCCGAGTTTTCCGCATCCGCCGTGGGAACACCCCACAAGTAGACCCAGAGGTCGCTTACCCGAGGTTTTGCCGCACTACAAAATTAATATCATGGTAGTAGTCGGTTCAATACATCACATAAAACAAATACACAATCCATGTACTTCGGGATATCGCAACCTGGTGTTCCCCTCTGGTTGTCCCGCCCTACCACATCTCAATTCCCATTTGCATTGAAAGTTCACTTTCATGGCCAATGCTAAGATGATTAACCTGAGAAATTCCTATGCTCACTGTTTTCTTCACTTCACTTATCCAGGTTTTCTATTTTTGTTCTTAGATCTTTTCTCCCTTTCCATCGTTATCATAACATTGGGCATGATTGCCCGTTTGACCTCTGACTGTTTTGACCTGACGAGACGACATGGTGCATTCAAACACCAGCATGACTAGTTTGCCAGCAACACTCCACAACAGGTTGCAGTTGTCTGCATTACATTCATTTGCCCTGCTCCTGCAGCATGCCATTTTTTTCACACTGAAGATGGGCCATGCCCGAAAATTTGGTGCATTCCATTTATATCTAATTTTTTTTTTTTTTTTGGAAGTGAAGTGAACTTATGCAGCGAAGAGACCGTAGGTGGAGAGTTTGAAGTGAGGTACCGTGTAACTTTTATAGTGTTATCAGTATTCAGGCTTCTGTAGAGGCATGATTAGTTTCAGGACCCCCAAAATGCCAAATCTCGACCATGGAAATCGAGATTTGTTCAAATTTTTTCGTAATTTGAAAACTGGTTGCCAATATCCTCAATCATATGACTCTAGTTGACATAGGAGTCCATTGCAATTTTCCCAATTTCTTCTTGCTTGTGCTGGTGTGAAGGTGTCCTTATTGGCTGCTTGCTTCTCTTCAGTCCTCTGTTGCTGATTGGATGCAAGGGTAAGATAATGTATATAATTATTGATAATGCTGAGAAAAAGGACAGACTTCAGGCTCATCAACATCAGCTTGAAAGCGGTTTCTCGTAAAAAAACTTAAATCCATTGTCCTTGTTCATTTGATTTTAGAGGAAGACGCCTGCTCCAATGGTTGGAGCTCGCGCTTCCTGCTGATTGACTGACACTTGACTGACTTACGACTGCAGTCTGGAGCACACGAGAAGAATACTGGGCCACTCACTCGGCAAACCTGCAAGAAAGCACCGTGCCAGAAACTAGTAGGACAAAAGGATTCTGCCTTTTGGTCAGGGGATTGAAGCCGTTGCTATGTGCGTGACCAAGAGTACATAACCAAGAGTGTGCAACTTGACGATCCCCCAGCCCACGGCGGATTTTTTTTATGACATCAGTCTTTGGCGGCTGTTTTGCTCGCTGATGCCATCATGCGTAGCCAGAGATCAAAGTACAACGAATTTGTACATCACAG